AACACCAACATTACACTGGAACCCTATCCTGCTGGCTTCAAAATACCACAGCTGGAGACTTATGACGGAACAAAGGATCCTGATGATCATCTGCATGCTTTCTACTCTTGCATGCAAGCTTAAAACGCCTCTGACGCATTGATGTGCAAAATCTTTCCCTCTACTCTCCGAGGTAATGCCCGAACTTGGTATTACAGTTTACCTCCGAGGTCAATCAGCTCTTATACAGAAATGGCATCTGCCTTTGCCACTAAGTTTTCTAGTAGAAGGTTGATTAGGAAAACTACTTCTGAGCTGATGCAAGTTAAACAGAGGGATGGAGAATCTCTGAAAAACTATATCAGCAGGTTCAATGATGCAATATTGGAGGTTAGTTCCTTTGATCAAGCTATGGGAATTGCAGCTGTGATCTCCGGTTTTAAACATGACAGGTTCAGAGATAGTTTGATCAAACATATTGCCACCACCTTTAGCGAGGTGAACGATAGGTCTCTGAAATTTATAACCATTGAGGAGTATGCCCTGGCGCAGAATCCGACTCCTTCTAAGAACCAGAACCCAGAATGGAGAGATGACAATTCGAGTCGGAAAAGGATGAGGATGGCGTAGAACCGAGGTTTGATGTTGACCTCCCCACCAAGATTCGGAAGGCCGAACTCAACACCCCCGCAACAATCTGCAGGTAAACCTCCAGTTAATTGGACTACCTTTAATCTGCCAATGTCACAAATTTTTATGCAGATCAAGAATAAGATGGATTTAAGGCGTCCTGGCCCAATGAAAACTACTGCTGCTAGCCGAGATCATACCAGATATTGTGGTTTTCATCAAGATCACGACCATACTACAGAGCAGTGTAACAGCTTAAAGTCCGAACTGGAAAGTCTAGCTCAGAAGGGAATGCTGAATGAGTATGTTCAGAGAGCTGCACAGCCACGATTTGTCAGAGAACAAGGGCCACAGCCTCAAGGAGCCCGTAACCCACCAAACAGGCAAGGTGTGGGATATCAGCAAAACCCACCTCCGCTCCCACCACCAACTAGAATCATACACATGATCACGGGAGGTCTGGAAGCATGTGGACTGAGCTCTAAACAGCGAAAGCTGTATGTCAGAGAGGTTAAGCATCAGAAACGAGCTCATAAACGGAAGTTTGATGATGCTGAGTGGAAGAATCAACCCATTACTTTCACATCTACTGATCTTGATACAGTTGTTACACCCCATAATGATCCCTTGGTCACTTCTGTCATAATTAATAACTGTGAAGTACAGCGTGTCCTTGTTGACACTGGGAGTGCACCAGACATTATGTACTTCCACTGTTTCGAGAGTCTTAGACTGGATCCAGCGTTGTTGCAGAAATATGATGGTCCTATTTATGGTTTCAACAACCAACCTGTTCCGGTAGAAGGAGTTCTTACCCTCCATGTGGCTTTTGGGAGTGGCCGGACCTATGTAACCCCTTTAGTCCGGTTCCTCGTCGTCAAGATGGTGTCCTCTTTCAACATTGTTATTGGCCGACCCACATTGACTGAAATCCAAGCTGTGGTTTCCCAATCTCACCTCTGCATGAAGTTCCCAACTCCTATGGGAATAGCAACACTGTGAGGAAACTAAGAGGTGGCCAAACATTGTTATCTCATCGCGGTAACACAACCAACGAAGGGCAAAGATCAAACACCCGAGGCCATTCCCCAGCGAATTCCTGATAATCA